GCTCCTATGATGCTGCTTGGCCTGCTGTGTTCATCCAGCCCTGCACAATATATTCCATCCGCCGAGATCTGGCCCACTCACCAAACTTGTCCGCGGATTATTTATGTGACATCCTGCTGGGGGGAGGGGGCTGCCGTCTTCTGCAATTTACAACAGAATTCCGACAACTCCCTCAGAGATAGTAGGAACTGCAGATGCTGGAGAATCCGAGATAACAAGGTGTGTAGAGCTGGATGAACACAGCAGGCCAAGCAGCATCATAGGAGCAGAGAGGCTGACGTTTCGGGCCTAGACCAACTCCCTCAGCACCGCTTTGGGGTAGCAGCCTACATCGAGCTCTCACATCCCTCCCGGGGCTGGGGGAGGATCGCTCGGGAAGCGACTCCGAGGCGACACATCAACCCCCCCCCCCACCCTAAACCCCCCTCACCCTCCCCGAGTCTGTCGACGTGAAAGAATATTACTCACCGAACAGAAACCTGAAGACCCCGAGGCAGGCAGGGTCCGTGGGCCGGTTCAGGACGCGAACAAATCGATACCAGCTTCGGAAATCCGATAGCTCAAACCCAAAAATCCTCTTCATTTTGCCAACTTGCCCCTCTGGCTCCTTCGGGGCTTTCCTCTCGGGAACGTTCGGAGAATGAGAATCTAAAAGAGTGGCTTCTGCACTCCACACAGTCCCCCCCCACCACCAAAACAAAAAATTGACTTTAGTGTTGTTGTTATAAAATCCCCCCCCGCCGCCCGAAAACACATTTTTGTAACACCACATGTATACGGGGGGGTGGGGGTGGGGGTGGGGGGGTGAGCACGGTGGCACAGCGGTTGGCACTGCTGCCTCAGGGGACCCGGGTTCGATCCCAGCCTCGGGGCGACTGTCTGTGTGGAGTTCGCATGTTCTCCCCAGTGTCTGTGTGAGTTTCCTCCGGGTGCTCCGGTTTCTTCCCACAGTCCAAAGGTGTGTAGGTTAGTGTGAATTGGCCATGCTAAATTACCCATAGTGCACAGGGATGTGCAGGTTAGGGTGGTATGGCCGTGCTAAATTACCCATAGTGCCCAGGGATGTGCAGGTTAGGGTGGGTTGGCTGTGCTAAATTACCCATAGTGCCCAGGGACGTGCAGGTTAGGGTGGATTGGCCGTGCTAAATTACCCATAGTGCCCAGGGATGTGCAGGTTAGGGTGGATTGGCCGTGCTAAATTACCTATAATGCCCAGGGATGTGCAGGTTAGTGTGAATTGACCGTGCTAAATTACCCATAGTGCCCAGGGATGTGCTGGTTAGGGTGGATTGGCCGTGCTAAATTACCCATAGTGCCCAGGGATGTGCTGGTTAGGGTGGATTGGCCATGAGGAATGTAAGGTTTCAGAGATAGGGCATGGGGGTGGGTCTGGGTGGGATGCTTGCTCTTCAGAGGGTCAGTGTGGACTCGATGGGCTGAATGGCCTGCTTCCACACTTGCAGGGTTCCAGTCTTTTAAAAATTCTGGTACGCCACGGGGTCACATCCGTGGGCGCACAAGGTCAGTTAGCTGCTCTGCAAGGCAGCGTGGGCTCGATTCCTGTCACCAGCCCCGATTACCAACCCCCCCCACCCTCCAACTCAGACCAGTACCCCACAGGTTAAACCACTTTTGGGAGAGAGAGAGAGAGAAAGTTTATCTGGTGACTTCAAAGTCTGTTGGACATCTGTCCCTTTGAAAAGAAAATCTCTGGGCAGATTAATCTTGGCTGGGGTGGGGGTTTGTGGTTTGCTTTAAAAGGAGAGGCGGTCATGACATGTTAAATTTAGAACAGGTCCCAACAACTTGTAAAGCAAAGTTCTTGGCCAGGGGTCTTTGGACAAAAGTAAACAGCAACTTCTGCTCCCCACTGTAAGCGAGGAAATGGTCTAATCAAAGTAAAGGCCTGTGGAACAGATTGGGCCAAGACTTTTACAGTGCAAGTTGTTGGAACTAATTCTAGAACAGTACCGTGGGCTCCCACTCCAAAGATCACTGATCCGTACACCGCCCCCACCCCCCACAGTAATAAATCATTCACAATTATTTGTTTTACACCGTTTTGGTTGAACGTAGGAGTGTTTGTGAGTCTGTGTGCTCACTTGTTCTAACAGGAGCTTTTTACTCAACAGGGTTCTTTTTTTTGTTCACTGGTGTTTTTGCCTCAAGCCCCACACACTCATGTACACACAGACAGACAGAAATACACACAGACAGACAGACGCGCATGCGCACACAGACAGAAATACACAGAGACACACACACACACAGAGACAGAGACACACAGAAATACACAGACACACAGACAGGCAGAAATACACAGAGACAGAGACGCGCACGCACACACACACACACACACACACACAGACAGGCAGAAATACACAGACACACACACACACAGAGAGACAGAGACACGCACACACACGCAGAAATACACAGAGACAGAGACACACAGAAATACACAGACACGCACACACACAGAGAGACAGAGACACGCACACACACGCAGAAATACACAGAGACAGAGACACGCACACACACGCAGAAATACACAGAGACAGAGACACGCACACACACGCAGAAATACACAGAGACAGAGACACGCACACACACACAGACAGAGACACACACACAGACAGAAAGACACACACACACACACACACAGACAGAAAGACACAGAGACACACACACACACAGACAGAAAGACACAGAGACACAGACACACACAGACAGA